TTTAAGATCATTATATCTTACCAGTTGTTCGTTAAGGTCGCATGTCCCTTATTTTTCAACTGACTATTTGGAGCAGTATTCTGAATCCGTTTTATCTGATTATTTCATGGTGTGTATAGAGATGACTAAAAAACACTGTTATCCATTTTTGTTGTAAAAAAATGCACTTTGTCTATAGTAGAATTCAGCGGGTGAGTTTTATTTTTATCACTTGTTCTCATAGGAAATCTTCGATTTCCTTGAAACCTCATTTTACAGTAAACTGAATTTTTAAAGAAAGGCAAAAATTTGTTGAAGAGAAAAAGTGATAGGAATAAAGTAATCACACGGTCGAGTCTTCATAAAAGTGGAATATTCACATACAATTTTAGAGCTGTACTATTATTTAATAACAAGTTACGATTGAAGAAAAAATGCATAAGAGTGCAGTATGTTTTACAAAAAAGAAAAAGATGACATTGTTTTTCAGTGATCTCTTTACGCATGAAACAATCAGACGAAAAGTATTAAAAATACTCCTCCCGAAGATATGGTGTTGAAAAAGAGACATGCGACGTTAGGCTAAATTTAAAACATAAATACTTTCTTTTTCAAATATTAAAATGCGAAAAATACATATGTAAACATGTGTCATGATGTGATGCTGAAATAAGCCATACAATTTTGTACCATCGTTGTTTTATCATTCCATTGATAAAAACTTCAGCAATTTTTACTACTTTTACTAGATCAAGTAAAATTTCATGTTGAAATATTTTTGTGCCAAAATTCAAATATATATATATATATGTGGAAATAAGATATCGATGGTTAGACATATTTTCTAAACGTAAATATGAGTCACCTAATTCATGGCCACAACCATATACAAGGAATATAGATGGGAAAAACTTTACTATTTGCTATTTCATATTGTTTTTCCATATTAGTAAAAAAAGTCGTAATTAGGTGGCTCTATACAGGATTACTCATGAAAAGCATTGAGTGAGTGAATTTATATTCCGATAAAAGTATTTGAAATCGATTTCATCAAGCAGTTTCAGATATGTTTTGTTCAAATCATTCAATCAGTGCTATCCTGATAGTTCTGTATGCAGATTTGGAAACATTCGTTGAATCAACCGATCCAGTATTTCTTGCTGATCTACTTTCTCGAACCTTGCTTTATATCTTAATTACGACATTTTCTCAAATTAAGTGCGTTAACTGTTCACTAGCGACCACGAATTTAAATTTATAGCATTGTTTTTTGTCGCGGAGCCAGAATGTGTGCATGTTGCATGTTGCACACGTGTTCCCTCGCCAGAGTCCGTGTGGCGTTCCCCCTTTCCCATGTATCCCCCACGATACCCAATGGGTGCTTAGGCCTTAGGCCTTCGTGGTAGTTGGAGTATAAAAAAAAACCTTGTACATCACAGCTTGATTAGCGACAGGCAGTATGGTTTCCGGCACCAACGATCCACAGGGGACCTCCTAGCTTACGTCACGCAATTGTGGAGTAAACTCATCCAGTCTTATGGTGAGGCTCATGTCGTTGCTCTTGGCATCACCAAAGCGTTCGATCGGCTGTGGCACGCTGCCCTCTTAAGCAAACTTCCATCCTATGGCCTCCCAGAAAAGCTTTGCAGATAGGTGGCTGACTTTATCTCTGGCCGCAAGATATCCGTCGTAATTGACGGGTTCTCCTCTTCATCCCACAACGTCAACGCGGGTGTTCCCCAGGGATCTGTCTTGGCTCCGACACTGTTTCTCTTACATATCAACGACCTCCCTTCCTGCACGATCAACTCAATCCACAGCTTCGCTGATGACAGCACTCTACATGCAGGAATTTAGAGTGACAAGCCGATCTCTGCCGCTGAGCTGGAAAAAAGAAGACTAGCGATGACTTCCTCTCTGACAAGAGACCTGGAGGCTATCACTGCTTGGGGACGCAACAATCTTGTACAGTTCAATGCTTCCAAAACACAGTACTGTACTTTGACGAACAAAAAGCGTCCTAGCGCTCATCCGGTACGATGGATGGCCGAGTTCTGCCAAAGAGCCATTCATTTCGGCTGCTCGGAGTCCAGATCACCGAGAACCTGATCTGGCACGAACACATCTCGTCAATAGCTGCAGCTGCTGGGAAAAAGCTAGGCTATTGGTTTAGGGCTAAGAAGTACTTTTCTACGCATGACCTTCTCACTCTATACAAGACCCAGCTAAGGCCTAGCCTCAAGTATTGCTCACACGTTTGGGGTGCTGCCGCCCCGACTACATTATCCATGCTCGATGCTGTCCAGAGGAGGGCGGTCCGACTCATCGATGACTCTTCTCTAACAGACAGTCTCGAGACTCTTTCGCACCGGCGGGCCGTCGGCGATCTAGCTCTTTTCTACCGCTACACCAACGGGCTTTGCTACTCAGATCTCTCTTCCATGATGCCGCCGCGCGATGTGCCTGCCAGACAGACCCGCCTGACCTTTGCGTCCCATTCTAATCGTGTCGAACTTCGTACATCCAGAACTGGCCGATACGACCGCTCCTTTATCCCGAGGGTGTCTAGATTGTGGAACAATCTACAAGAGGAAGCTTTTCCCAGTTCTGCTAACCTTAGGCAGTTCAAAAATCGCATTAACAAAATTCCTTTGTGATCATCATAGCAGCCGCGGTGTTCCAGCATTTAGGCTTCTGCCTGCGCGGCTGCTTCGAAATATAAAAAAAAGACGGCTTGACCGGCGTGTCTTGTCGACCTTCTTTGGGACTAGATTAGTTCTATTCCAATCGGTAAAGTATCTAGGAATTATCCTTGACTGGAAACTGAACTGGAGAGCGCAAGTTGGACGTGTTTTCGGTGTGAGATGGGGGCTTAAACCCAAAGTGGTACATTGGCTCGACACGGCTGGAGGCTCTCCGGATTGAGTGAGCAGGTCTGCCCCTTGGTGGATACACCACTATTTTCCAGGCGGAAATCTTTGCGATTCTGGCTTGTGTATCCCGGAGGAACAAGGGCCTAGGAGAAGAATAACAATCTTCTCCGACAGCCAGGCTGCAATAAAGGCACTATGTGTCTGTAAGATTACTTCGAGCCTTGTACTACAATGCAGGGAGGCTCTGGATTGTCTAGCAGCTTGGCATCCGATAGTTAATGTGGGAACCGGGGTAAGCTGAGATAAAGGGCAAGAAGACGGCGGACGCTCTGGCGAAGACAGGATCAGCCAGCAAGCTCGTTGGTCCTGAGCCAGCCTTCGGAGTGACCGCGCAAAGAGTGAGGAAAATGGAGAAGTGGATTGCAAGACAACACTCTCAGAATTGGAGAAGTAGCTCCAGACATCTCCGTCAGACACGGAAACTCATTGTAGGGCCCAGCACGGATGGACGTTTGTGCTTATCTTTGGATAGAGCCAACCTAAGGTTGTCTGGCCATAACACGTTAAGGCGCCACCTGCACGTGATGGGGGTGGGGGAAGAGACCTCGGCGCACGTTCTGTGTCGCTGTGAAGCTCTGTGCTACTACAGGCAGACTATACTGGGGTCCATTACTTTGGAACGCCAGGACGTCAAGGAGCTTGGACTCAAGGCCATATTCAACTTCGCAAGAAAGGCGAGACTTGAGGTCTAAGCAATGGCTGGCTCCTAGTACTACATAATAAGGTTTCCAGTTGACCATATCCGCTTGCTTTCCATAGTCTGCCTCAAAGACTATGCCTATACCGTCCTGATGATTGCTGAGCATGAAACAACGTTGTCTGCGGCTACAGAGACGGAAACCAACCATTAAGTTTATGTAAGATTATCTAATACATATTGAGCTAATGCAGAGATTCACCGCAACCAGAATAGATAACGCACTTAATACATCTTGTCACGGGTCACCGTGGCTGGGTGGTTGGAGATCCTCGTATGTATGATAAGCAATACGATAAAATGACATTAGACATTGCGAAAACCTTGCACTCGCGGGAGAGGGGCTTAATACCCTCTCCAGACTCACGCGCGGATCACGGCGTGAAATCGCGGCGCGGATCTTCGGTGCGAATCCCGAAAACTCTTCCTACAGTTCCACAGTCGCAAATCTTCATGCCTGCTTCACAGTATAGTTCGCGCTCTTGACGAGTATGGACGGTGAAACTGCTACTGCTGCTGCAGGACTACTTTGCGCTTTGTCAATTAATAATTACGCATATATAAGTAAAACTAAGACAATTGAAAAGAAGTGGAAACACACAACCACTCCCGGCACTCGCTATGAGGCAACTGAGCCACCAGCGAATAGAGAGCCTAGTCATGTTCGCTCCTGGCGAACCCTTTGTCGTGGGACACAAAACCGACAACAAACGGGAACAACGCGCAAGCGCGACGTGAAGCCGCGAAGAATACGCGAATGGGATCCACACTCATGGGTCGCAGGTAGTTCTCGGCTTCGCGCGTGAGTCTAGAGAGAGTATTAGCCCTCTCCACAGTCGCAGATCTTCCCGCCTGCTTCACAGCATAGTTCGCGCTCTTGACGAGTATGGACGGTGAAATTGCTACTGCTGCTGCAGGGCTACTTTACGCTTTGGCAATTTATAATTATGCATATATAAGTAAAACTAAGACAATTGAAAAGAAGTGGAAAAAACACAACCACTCTCGGCACCACGGGCGAATGAGGAGCCTAGTCATGTTCGCGATATGTTCGCGCCTTGCAAACCCTTTGTGGCGGGACAAGAGACCCGCAACAAACGGGAACAACGCGCGAACGCGACGTGAAGCCGCGAAGAATACACGAATGGCATCCACACTCATGGGTCGCGGGTAGTTCGCGGCTTCGCGCGTGAGTCTGGAGAGGGCTTAAAGATACCACCAAAAACATTTCTGTTTCACCTATTCTGGGACTTTGTTAATCTCAATCTCGCTATTCTCTGGCCTAGCATATGAGGTTTTCGCATGGTCTTCAAGGCATTCCAATAACAACGAATGTTTCCTGTAACTGTGTGTACTGATTGTGATGTGTTCTCTGTCTGATGTAAATGTAGCAACTGCGCAAGGCGGAACGGCAATCCGGGCAACCGTCGGCCGATGCGGGTACTGCGGGAGCGAGTAATGCGGGGGGCAATGCGGGCAATGCGGCAGCCGCAAATGCGAGCAATGCCGCTGCGAACGCATCTAGTACTAGTTCGCCCGTTCCGGCACGGGATGCCAAGGATGCCAAGCACCAAAACTCTCTGTCTCGCTCTTGCATGCCTCAGCATGCCAATTACACCCCAGAAGGCCCTATGGCACGTATCCTTACACTATCTCTACTTACTATTTTTTCTTCATTATTAGATACTGCGTCTGGTTACCGACCGAGAAAGGAAGTCGTTATTAAAAAATGAAGCACTCTATTTAAACACACACAAAACTAAAAGTGAAACGGAAAATTACGAAGCTTGGAGATGATGTCGTTTTCTTTTTTTTTTTTTTTAGTTTTTGCACGGGTGCCTCACCCCTACAACTTTTTATTATTGAAGATAGAAAAACGAAATTTACGGATTGCGTATTATAGATGAATTTGCATTTTTTTTGACATATTCACTTGCATTGACGTACTTTCGGTTTGACCGGAAACGTCTCCAACTTTCGTTTTTTAAATAGGACACCCTATATATATATTTACTCATTTCGATCGAGAATGACATTCTGAACTCAACAACAACAAATCTATTTATGACATGTTATACATGACATTTTAGGGCATATTTCTAAAATATTGGCAATTATACAGTGTGTCTCAATTTTGACCTACATATCAAAGTTGTGATTTTTTAAATGGAATGCCTTAAATTTTATTGCATATTTGGATAAACCAATTCAAAAGAAGAAGATTGGTATAACATACTATGGGGTTTTTTTAATTAGCTACTGAGATCTAAGGTGTTTTGTCCAGAAAAGCCGTCCACTGCGGTAACCCTTCAATCCGACATTTTGAAATTTGGAGTGCTGAAACGACTGGACCAAAATATTGACGAATATTAGTTTTATTGTTTTATCAGATGCTGATGCTAATAAAGTCACATTACCATAATGCATTTTAGCACATACTAAAATGGCACGTAGCCCTTTTCAGCTTCAAATTCACGAAACGAATATTAAATGCAATAACCTTTCTCGGTATGTGTTCTGGATACAATGTACAACACACATCCACATCAGTAGCAGCTAGATTTTCCACAGACTCACAATTTTTCATTTTATTATATAAATGCCTATTTTAGAAAAAGTAAAATGTCTATGCAGGGTGGCCCAACGAAAAGGTCGCACCCCCATTTGTGACTCTCATGGTATATTTTTGGAAAACACTCAGACACGCAAATTTTCATTTCTAGAGGGACGTCTATTCATCTATAGCCGTAAAATACAGGGTAATCCAAAAATAAGATATTGCCTTATACTTTAGATTATTAAATGAAAACCCAATGAAAACCCCCCTTTTTTTTAATTTCTAGATTATCCATGAAGTTTTTAGTAACTTTTGTATAATAAAGTTTATACCTATCTTGAATCGTTGTGAAGCGATTTGAATTTATAATAAAATTCTAGAAATTGTGATATATTATACAAAACTTACTAAAAACTCCATGGAAAATATAAAAATAAAAAATGTAGGTTTCCATTTAAAAATCTCTAGTGTAACGCAATATCTTATTTTTGGATCACCCTGTATTGTATGGCTATATATGAAAAAACTTCCCTCTAGAAATCAAAATTGACGTGTTCGAACGTCTTTCCCAAATTATACCAGGAGAGTTGAGGTGCGACCTTTTCGTTGGGCCACGCCGTAGGTTATGTTCCAAGCAACGCGAACTTAAAATATTCGTATAATCGCTGGCAAGAACTGCCGTTGCCCACAATGAGTGCGAACGAGAGGAAGAGGAGCCTTCCTAGTTATGAGCAAGCACACATCCCACATATTTTAGTACTTTATACAAATACGAGAGGTTGATCATATATTTTGAGTCAATCGGTATATGATGTTAGACGAAACTGAATTGACTATACAACAGACATCAAACATTATACTCGAACATTACACGAAAATCGAAAGAATACATCATAAACATACATCACTGTTATCATTCGACTCGCATGCATGCTGATATCTATTTTCCTCTAATCTCAAAAAATTTAAAGACTTTCATCCTGATATCCAAATTAGTAATTTGATTGCAACTTCGGGTCCATCAACATTCAGATGAAGAAATTAGAATCGAAATTTTCAAATTGATCTGATTTGTAGTTTTTCCGATATTCCATTTGCACATATTTTCATCTGTCAACTTTTTGTAACAGAATCTGTCATCCTCATACTCACCTTTTTGCTATGACTAGTTTGAAAAGCAGGTGCCGACTGACAACAGTTAGCCACTTTACGTTACCACCCTATATTGTAGGCATTTTGAAAAAATCCATAAAAGCTATGCACAGGGTATCATCAAACGTCAAATTGCAAAGAGTATAATAATTATAATATAAATATACTAAGTGACATATAAATCCGAACACCCAGTTTAAATGGTTTTATTTTAATAAAATTTTGTATAAGTACTTAATGAAGCATAATAAGTAAATGAATGATAAAAATTTCAAAATGATTGCACTGCTTTAAAGCCCTTTGACCTTTAATAATGTGTGGATGCACCCTGATGTGCTACGCATTCTCCAACGCGCCTTGGCATGCTTCTGATCAGGTGGTCAATGTCCTCCTGTGGTATCTCATTCCAGGCAACCACCAACTCCTCTCGAAGTGCTTCTAGAGTCTGAGGAGGACGTTGCAAATTGAGCAATTTCCTACCCATCATATCCCACACGTGCTCAATTGGGGATAAGTCGGGAGATCTTGGTGGCCATGGTAACAATGTGACATCATTATGTTGAAAGAAGTCTATTGTGACTCTTGCAACATGTGGTCGGGCATTATCTTGTTGGAAAGTTGGATCTGCCAGGGTGTCAAGATAGGGTAAAAGATGGGGTTCTAGAACTTCGTGGATATAACGCTGCGCATTCATGTTACCTCTGATGAAGATTAAAGGTGACCTGGAACCATAAGCTATAGCACCCCAAACCATAACTCCAACAGTGTGATGAACATGTCTTTCAACCAAAAACTGTGGATTCCTCCTTTCATCACGTCGCCTTCTAACCCTGGCACGACCATCGTGCATGCCTAAACAAAATCGAGACTCGTCACTAAAGACAATACTGTTCCATTCCTGATCCCAGAGTGACCGTTGTCTGCACCACTCAAGGCGATTACGTCGGTGTTCTCGAGTTAAAGGGAGGACCCAGTATGGCCGGTATGAAAACAAGCCAAAACTTCTCCTTCGTCGGTAAACACTTCGCATGCCAATAGGTCTTCCGTGTTCTGCAAAACATTCATTTGCAATGGACCTGGTAGTGGAGAAACGGTCCCTTAAGGCCAATAATCTTAAGCGGCGATCTTCACGGTCTGTTGTTCTACGTCGGCGTCCAGTGCCCCTTGCTCTTTGCATACGGCCTTCCCGAAGCCATGCCTGACAACACCTAACCACAGTGTCTATACTTCTTTGCACTCTAACTGCAATTGCCCGAAAAGAAAGTCCAGCTTCCCGAAGTCCCACTATACGGCCCCTATCAAACTCACTAAGTTGACGAAATCGTACAGGTCTCCGTACTCTAGGCATCGTAACCGATCGTAAAGGATGTCAAGAACCAAAATCTGCCAACGTTGATTCTTTACTGCGGCTGAAATATTCATTTTTAGAGCGTTAGTGAATTAAAAAAAAGCAGTATAAAAACCGGAATGTCCAACTGATAAGGCTGAAAATTTTTTCACTTGTTATTTACAGTAAGATAAATTCATTCACCAACTTTTATTAAAATAAAACCATTTAAACTGGATGTTCGGATTTATATGTCACTTAGTATATTTGCAGCTATATTCAAAAGTTCAATCTAGATCTGCACACTCTATGGTTACATGCATAGACTCGTATTTGCCATAAAAGTATAACCAGCGAAGGAATAATTATAAAGCTAGATTGTGTCAAACGGCCAACTGCAAAAGGCAAAAACAATGTGTGGCAATGTTTTCGAAATATTGTACCGAGAAGTTTGACTAATAATGTTACATTCTCTAAAATAAAATCGATTATGCACTGTTTAAGATTCCTAAAGTCCAAACATCTACGAATGATTCAGAGTGACCTATCGGTTTTGCTGCAGTATTCCGAGTGTTCCCAGTCGTTCTCACTTGTCATCCAACTTCAAGGTTTAAAATCGCGGAAATGATACTGCTGACATCAATATTTTTTACAGGTTATGTTTTTGATGAACCTGATAATAGAAATTTATATTGTCACTGGCCACTAGAAAGAGACTCTCAATATGAAGAAATGGAGTAGTTAATTAAGGGCGGATTGCTAAAGTGCTTACGCATGCAGCCGCTCCCCCCCTCTTCAATTTTTATTGTAATAACCGCTAAGCCCCCCACCCCCCCAGACGAACATCAACCTGAACATGAATGATATGATCACCGCGGCACCCCCTTCCCACCTAGACAGATTTCTAAATCTGCCCTTGCAGCTAACGGATAATTTCTTAGTTAGTATTGGAAAAAGCCAATAAACATAACTCTTTTGAAGTTTTCTGAAGATTACCTTGTGTAGCATTGAATAACTACATTGTAAATTCCTAAAATCCATAAAAACTACTTTTCCCTATTCTTGTGTTCCCTCATCTTATCAACTGTCTGCTTTTGGCTAATTGGTATCTACCTTTGCTACTGCTTTTGGTGTAGAATGTGGTGTGGTTGCATCTGTCTCAACTATTTGCTGAATTGGTTGACCTACGTCATATTTGGTGTGCGTATACTTCAGTCAGCGCCTGATTGCATGCTCTATAGTTTTCATTATTTTGCATTCCGAGTATCTAAATGGAAGAGAGTAGGATAAGTCACCGCGTGCCATTGCTTACATGTGTGCACAAATCTCACCGTACTCAAAGACATACCGTATTAACAGTGGCGTATCATGCGTGATAACTCTTTTCCATTTTGGTACGTGACTATAGTCGCAGATGAATTAATGCAGAAATCATGGAAACGTGACTCTGATTTGAAACGGAAGTTTGATCTCATGTTGTTTTAATCTATTTACTCAAAAACGTTAATCCTAATACAAATTCGAATGCTTGACAAAAAATAGCGTCCAGTGGGTTGACTCTGCACTTTTTAAGCAACGCCGTAATCAGTTCATAAATGATTACGTTCAGCACAAGTTAGACCCTATTGACATGTACAACAGAAATTAAACATGCCCATACAGTTAGTCCATAGACATTATTTCCTTGACCTACTGGTAGTTACCGCTCATATGGCAACGTTGTCCCTTTTTTGCAGCGAGCTATCTTTCGTTTCGTGCAAGGTCCGTGTATGTTTTTTGCGCTTCCGTACAGACAGATATATAAGGCGATGAGCTTATATCAGCAGGAGTAACACTTTTTATGGGTGAAATGTACCTACTAGGTGCATACAATTACCGAGGCCAGGAGCGTATAAATATACTAGGATCAAAAAAATTCAAATACCCTCCCCCACCCCCTACGATCCCTAACCCACAAATTTCAAGCCCGACAAAAATTTGTCTGAAAATAATCAGGACCCCCTAAAACGTCAAAAAACTTAATTTTTACGATTTCTATTTTTTTCGTTTGTGGCCTTTTTCTCCATTCCCACTTGACCGATCTTCAAAAGTTACAAAGATTTTTCGTCCTTGTCATAGTAGTAACCTTGTGGGAAAATTTCATCAAAATCCGATCGGTAGGTACTTCCCAAGTTACACCGGGTCAAGGTATTAGCGGACAGACAGGCAGACCGACGGAAATGAGTGGCATCGTTTTACGTGACAATATTTTCGAAATTTTTCGCGATTACAATACTTCCTCGCCCAGTGGCGTAAGAAGTAAAAAGCTGTCATCAAAAACTGTTCAATATTTGCCTAATTAATTTTTGAGTTTTGGAAGTAAACGAAAGATAACTAAGAGTATCAACATTACGTCAAGCTACCAGTAAACTGAGCCACCACATTTTCTCTATAAGCTTTATACCAGATCCGAACTATTGACATATTCGTATCGAAAAATCTAATGAATTTCTATCTTCAGGCTTTCGCGTGGTTCAGCGATCTACTAGTGGAACATGCCGAGATATTTTGGTCCCTATTTGCAGCTGATATGGACAGGGTTCTAGCTGAACAACCCCCAGATACTTGGGACTCCTTCCCGTTGTTCCAGATTCTCAACGATTACCTCAGGGCTGACGGTATATTTTTAATACAAGAGTTTTGGTCCTCTTACCTGAGGTGCTCAAAAAACACAAACATCCACCAGAATCCCTTAGAATATCAAAATTCCGTTTTCCAATGAATATAAGCGCGTTATCACAGCGAGGGTCATTAAATCGAGCGGACTTTAAAAAATCCGTTTTAAAAACAAGAAAGCACTGCCTCTATCATTATGGGTGAACGCTTTCTAGGTAATTTTCGTGTAGAACAAACCAAATGTGCATTCAGATGACGTTTCTATACCTAACATAAAATCGCCCGGAGGCTCATTGTTGAATGATAAGATTGGGGTGCGTTTGCCAAAAAATAAAATGCTTCATACTAGGATTTCCATTAATTGGATGTTAAAAATTGTTCCACTAAAACTGACTAGTGGGCACGCGTCTTGAGCTCTGTGACAGTATGAGAGGACCAGAGGTTCTATTGTCTACAGACCCAAATACTGAACCCTACTGATTTTAGATAATTTAAAAAATGGCCGATTCCACCAACACCTAAGAGATACGTTCGCACCACTTGTCGTCCGCTATGTAGATCTCATGGAATCGTCAATAGCCCAATCTATCCACAAAGGCTTTGAAAAAGAACGGTGGGAAATCAAAGGGTAAGCTACCTTTAGATATAAGTACGTAAGTTTTGAAAAATGTTGAATTTCAGCATGGGCTGTGCAACATCGGAAGACCTCTTTTGGAAACTGGATGCTCTCCAGTCGTTCATTAGAGACCTGCACTGGCCAGACGCCGAATTCAGACAGCATTTGGAACAACGTCTGAAACTGATGGCTTGTGACATGATGGAGTCCTGCATTCAACGAACCGAACAGGCCTCTCAGCAGTGGCTCAAGAAATCAGTGACATTCATTTCCACCGATTACATCATACCATCGGAAATGTGTGCCATGGTCAACGTTATCATCGACGCTAAGAATCAATCTTTAAAGCTTTGCGCTGTCGATGGGATTGACGTTGTAAGTATAGATTAAATTATATTATTCATATTTCTGCATTCTATATCTCTACCACCCAAACGGAACTATTATACTTCTACCAATAATTGTAAACAGAACAGTGTACTGGGTCTGAAGACCCCGACAGCCCTTCAGTTGGTCGGTTCATAATTTGCTCTTTTTATGAAGGAACCTTTGGTCCTTTTGCCGACCCCGTATATACCAACACTCTATTCCACATGCTTAACTACTAGTTTATCGAACCTACCTTTCCGATCTCCCAATGAGAGTCAGAATGCTCGATCACTCCGCTGAGTATGAAACCTCACTATATGACTGCGATATGCGGGGCAAAAGCCTATAAAGTGGAACGAAGTCTGGCCCTGCCTTCTAGCAGATGAGACAACCTTAGGAGTGGCAAATGATTGCTCATGCTACAGTGCCCGGGGAGAGTTCCCACCAAAAAGTTGAGCGACCTTTGTTCAATGACCGTTCGACGCTTGCCGAGGTCCGCTATGCACCTCTTGGCTTTTTGCAGTCATCTCTTTCCCTTGCCACACTTTTCATGTCCCTATATACCCATTCACTCAGTGCGACGTTGACCTGGCGCCTGCTTATACTCAAACCAGAATGTCTGACCACTCCGATTAGTATGAAACCTCACTCCATGACTGCGATATGCGGGACAAAAGCCTATAAAGTGGACCGCAGCCGCGCCCTCCCTTCCAGCACATCGGACAATCTGAGGAGGGGCAACTGACTCCTCATGATACAGTGCCCGGGGAGGGTTCTCACCAAAAGGTTGAACAACCTCTGTTCAATGGCCCTCCGACGCTAGTCGAGGTCCGGTATGCACCCCTTGGCTTTTTTGCTGTCATCTCTCTCTCGCCACACTTCCCAGGTCTCTATATGCCTAATTCACTCAGTGCAACGTTGACCTGGCGCCTGCTTATACCCAAACAAGAATGTCCGACCACTCCGATGAGTATGACACCTCACTCCATGACGGCAATATGCGGGGCAAAGGCCTATAAAGTGGAACGCAGCCTCGCCCTCCCTTCCAGCACATCGGATAATCTTAGGATGCCTGCTCATGCTACAGTGCCGCGGGGTGGCGGGGGAGGGGGTTCCCACCAACAGGATGAGCGACCTTTGCTCAATGGCCCTCCGACGCTCTTCGAGGTCCGGTATGCACCACTTGGCTTTTTTGCAGTCATCTCTCGCTCGCCACACTTCCCAGGTCCCTATATACCTATTCACTCAGTGTGACGTTGACCTGGCGCCTGCTTATACCCAAACCAGAATGTCCGACCACTCCGATGAGTATGAAACCTCACTCCATGACTGCAATATGCGGGGCAAAAGCCTATAAAGTGGAACGTAGTCTCGCTCTCCCTTCCAGCACATCGGACAATCTTAGGAGGGGTAAATGCTCAGTGCCCGGGGAGGGTTCCCACAAAAAGGATGAGCGACCTTTGCTCAATGACCGTTCGACGCTTGCCGAGGTCCGCTATGCACCTCTTGGCTTTTTTGCAGTGATCTCTCTCTCTCTCTCGCCACACTTCCCAGGTCCCTATATGTCTATTCACTCAGTGTGACGTTGACCTGGCGCCTGCTTATACCCAAAACAGAATGTCCGACCACTCCGATGAGTATAAAACCTCACTCCATGACTGCGGCTGCGGGGCAAAAGCCTATAAAGTGGAACGCAGTCTCGCCCTCCCTTCCAGCACATCGGGCAACCTTAGGAGGGGCAAATGCCTGCTCATTGCTACAGTGCCCGCAGACGGTTCCCACCAAAAGGTTTAGCAACCATTGTTTAATGGCTCCCCGACGCTTATTGAGGTCCGGTGTGCACCCCTTGGTTTTTTTTGCAGTCATCTCTCTCTCGGAACACTTCCCAGGTCCCTATATACCCATTGAGTTAATGCGACGTTGACCTGGTGCTTGCTTATACCCAAACCAGAATATCCAACCACTCCGATGAGTATAAAACCTCACTCCATGACTGCGACTGCGGGGCAAAAGCCTATAAAGTGGAACGCAGTCTCGCCCTCCCTTCCAGCACATCGGACAATCTTAGGAGGGTCAAATGACTTCTCGTGCTACAATGCCCGGGGAGGGTTCCCACCAAAAAGTTGTGCGACATTTATTCAATGACCGTTCCACGCTTGTCGAGGTCCGGTGTGCACCCCTTGGCTTTTTTGCAGTCACTTGTTTGGATCGAGCTGAACTCTGAAGAGCAGTAGTGCATTTCCTAACCTAACATGAGCTCCTCTTCGGAGATACAAGCGCAGTGCGGAGAACACCATTGAGTGCAATGGAAGCTCTGCTGGATCTCCCACTGTTGGGTCTAGTGATCCGTGGAAAGGTGAGAGTAGTTGCACATCGACTTGGAGTCAAGGCAGCTGGGCCGTCACGAATCCTGTCAAAGGTTGCACAACCATCTTAGTCGAATTGCAAAGGAAGAATCCCGGCCTATGAGCACCCTTAAGTATCCCTTTAACCGCAAGTTTAATGTGCAATATCGAACGTGTGTTTCCGGAAGCCGGGAGTTCTCCAAAGGAAGTGGGCAAATCTCGTACAGGGGTCGTATACACCTCTGTTTTCCAGACGGAAATCTATGCGATTCGAGCTTGCGTATCTCGCATTCTGGAGGGGAAGGGACTACGAAAATAATAACAATCTTCGCCAGGCTGCGATGAAGGCACCAAGATTACTTCAAGCCTTGTAGTGCAATACAGAAAGGCTCTATATAGTTTAGCAGCGAGGCATCCGGTATCGTTAGTGTGGATGCCGGGGCACGCTGGATTAAAGGGTAACTATATAGCGGATGCTCTCGCGGAAGCGGGATCAGCGGAAAAGCTTGTTGGCCCTGAGCCAGCCCTAGAGGTGCCCGCGCAAAGAGTCAGGAGGATAAAGGAGAAGTGGGTTTCTGGACAACACTCTCTGGAATGGAGAATATCTCTAGACATCTCCGTCGTTTACGTGAGCTCATCTTAGGGACTAGTGCTAAGGATAGACGCTTTTGCTTATCTTTGGAACAAGGTTATTGGTGAGGCCATAACACCTGCATGTGGCTGAGGATGTGTGAGCGCGGCGGGGTAGAGGTAGAGTCCTCAGCGCATATTCTGTGGCATACAGGCGGACTTTGTATCCCCAGAATGTTAAGGAGCTGAGACTCAGGGCTAGCGCCGGCTCCTCGTGGTGGCCGATATGCCTCTAGATTCACTTTTTCATTCATATTCCTCGGAGATGCTGCCGCTTGAGTGTCGAGACATATAAATATGTTCCATTGAAGCTTCTACATCTGATTGAAAATCAATCTTAACTTTCAGCACCAATACCACACAAAGATCGATGATATGATCGAAAAAACAAACGCTAACATGGTTCAAGGCTTGATCAATAAACTGATGTCAGTACTAGAAGCGAGCTTGTCAAAACTATCACGATATGATGAAGGAAGCTTCATTGGCTCTATACTCAGTTTTACGGTAAGTACCAATGTAGACAAGAGATATTTCTTGAACAACACAAGTCGATAGAAATAAAGATGCATCATTCGGAATAAACTGTTATTTAAAGATGGAATAGAAATAATTTTTATATTTTTATTTCCAGAACGTTTCGGGTTCAGGCAAAGACATGGGCCAAGGATATGTAAACTTCACTAGGAATAACATGGAACAAGTTAGGCAGAAAATTACAGATGAGCTGTGGATTCTGACATTTTTTGAACAGTGGTACACAAACCAAATAAACATGCTTTGCAACTGGCTATCAGAACGATTGGATCACACCTTGCATCCTTTCCAGTGTACGTGCCTTGCCCTTATTGTCAAGGTATGTACAATAAAACATCATTATTTACCCAATTTCTTCATTATCATGAAAGCTGTTCATTTTTTTCATTTTCTATGTCTTTTCAGAAACTTTATTCTGACTTTGAACTACAAGGCGTCATGGAGGACAAGCTTAACTCAAAGGCTTATCAGACAATATCTCAAAGAATGCAAACTGAGGAAGCCACATGTGCACTTACAATGGGCCAGGCTGAAGGGTAAAACATACTTATATAAAAATATCGGTTTTATAGATCTTTTTTCATTCTCAACATTCTATTAACCCTAGGTAACTTATAGATAAGTACCATAAAAGAAAAAAGTCGCATACCGCATCGTACGCCACTCACGTAAAGTCTCTCTCATCCAGTTTGGCACTTGATTATAGCTATAGTACTAAAGTGGTAGATGTCACCAGAACTGCTGGCTTGATTCGGGTCTAAAGGCCGTCGTCGGTTGGAATTTCTTCTTAACGTTTCGCTAGCACGAATGGCAAGCTTCTTCAGAGGTCCTTCCATTTCCGATGCTGGATGTAGACTGACGATTTCTCTTGCGCAGGTTGTATTTATACTGGAGGGTAGGGGACGTGGCTTGTTCCGCTTCGGTTGACTTCGGGATGTCGATCGGCACTGCTCGGCCGTGTCTGAGGATCGGGTGCCAGATCGTATTGAATCTGAGGGTCTCTTCCTTCCTGTTGAAGTTATCTGAATGTTTGTGAATCTCGATAGCTTCCCTGACCAGTCTATTGTGGACCGAGGACTACAAAAGGAAGATTATTGAACTTCTAGACCCAGAAAGTTACAAACCCCTGAAGAAGGATCCAACGCAAGCCCAACTACGCCTTACCAACCGGCTCATCAAGCTATCATCACTGCCAGAAGACACCAAGAAGAGCGTTACGAGGACGGAAGCGGTTCCACCAAGGCTCTACGGCCTGCCCAAGATCCACAAGGCAGATGTTCCGTTGAGACCAATAGTCAGCGCTCCCGGATCGCCGACGTACTACTTAGCGAAACACTTGGCATCCCTGCTGCAACCATACGTGAGAAAGAATACCAGCTACATCAAGGATTCCACGGACTTTGTGCATAAGATCCAGGACATCGTAGTTGAACCCGACGACATCCTTGTGAGCTTCGATGTCGTCTCCCTTTTCACCAAGGTACCGCTGAGGGAATGCCTGGATCTGGTGAGCAGGATCTTCCCAAATGGCTACAGCAAGAGGGACATCGAAAGATCAATGGGCTCGAGATCAGCCAGGCCACGTGAAACCGAACAGCGTCCCACCATCTCTCGCCAACAGTCACGGACAGGATTGACAGAGTCCTGAAGAGACATGGCATTAAAACAATCTTCAAGCCCACGAAGAAGATCCAACAAACCATCAGATCGACAAAGGACAAGAAGGACCCACTCTCAGCTGCAGGAGTCTACCGCATACCGTGTTCATGCGGCAAAGTATACATTGGAACCACGAAAATATCAATGGGAACGAGACTCTAGGAGCACAAAGCAAATTGCCGGCTAGGACAAACTGAGAAGTCTGCGCTAGCTGAACATGCACTAAGCAATGGGGACCACAGGATATACTTTGGGAGCTGCAGGTTGCTGTCATCAGTCAACGGCTAACACAATAGACTGCTCAGGGAAGCTATCGAGATTCACAAACATCCAGATAACTTCAACAGGAAGGAAGAGACCCTCAGATTCAATCCGATCTGGCACCCGATCCTCTGAAACGCCCGAGCAGTGCCGATCGACATACCGAAGTCAACCGAAGCGGAACAAGCCACGTCCCCTACTCTCCGGTATAAATACAACTTGCGCAAGAGAAATCGTCTGTCTACATCCAGCATCGGAAATGGAAGGACCTCTGAAGAAGCTTGCCACTCGTACTAGCGAAACGTTAGGAAGAAACTCCAACCGACGACGGCCTTTAGACCCGAATCAAGATAGCAGTTTATCAACTGGCCGCGCAAGCCTTAACCAATTTGTCAGATGTCACCAGATTTCACTATTATCTTAAATGTTTCGTACCTTTTAGTGGGCTCGAAGGCTTGGAGGAAGAAGGTGAGAGCAGCAAAGGTAAAGCTAAGGTCAATATCATGGAGAACCTAAGCGGTGAAGACGGGAATATTTTATCAAATGTGGGAACACTCGTGGGTGGTAAAGTTGGCAATATTTTTGGTAAGGGTCTAGGCGGAATTGGTTCAAAATTAGGCGGTGGAACAAGTAGTTGGTTTTGAATGTTCTATCTTGCATTACTAATATAGTTTAATAATACCAATAACCTTCTTCTTTTTGAAACAAAGTGTAAAATAAACATACAGGATGTCCCAAAAGGTGTATTCAAACGGATATTTAAAAACTAAACATCAAAGCTAGTGCCCAATTGTAAATTTATGCGATATTCCTCTTTGTGCACCTAAAAAAATTATTGACGTTTTTTGCCACTGTGACATAAGTATATCTTTCGAGGTGCTATTTTTACCCATTTGGGACATCAGGCATACCGTTCAAATTTTCTCAAAGTTACAGCTTTTAATATAAAGGTTACTAGTCCATTCCTTTTACTATTCGATTTGGAAAAATATGAGCTGAAACAACATAAATATCCTCACAGAACCCATAAAGCTCAATCTCATGCACCATTACGTGATCAAGAGAAAGGTGAGAGTAAAATCGATAGCAATAAAATAAATAATTCTGGAGTCGGTCACAGAAAAACGTTCATAATGAATTATCTAATTTAAAATGTCATTCTTTTATCAGGATGTTTAATCGATTCAAATTATTTAATTCAAAAGGGAGAGAGGCAATCATGAAGTTCTATAACCATGAAAACCGCAGGATAAGTTTCAGGTGTTATATTAATATAAAGTACTCTCACCACACAATAAAAAGCTTAGATTATTACAGAGTTGCATAAATATGCTGCAGTCTACAGTCTAGAAAAATGGTAATAACATCAAAATTAAACCCTTAGCTCATATTTTGTTGATACTTTTGATTATTCTTTAGATAATAGACCTTTTTGACTGTCCGGAAATAGGTGCTACAATAAAATGTGGAGAAACTGTACCTAAATGGTTTTTCCTAAAATATTAAATATAACGTGTATCTGGACGATGTAAAATATATTTAAATGAAACATACTATTTCTGCTGAGGCCCAGTACTTCCATTCTCAATAGATAATCAGAAGGTCATCAGCCTTCTATTGTATATATTATTAATATCAACTTTTGTGGTTAATGTATTTGATTATCATTATAAAAATACTTTGCTGGGTATTAGTATATAAATATTGTACACATTGAAAAATTAGCTTGAGGAAAATGTATGAGTCATCTCATATGATATTGGGATGGTTATGGCTTTAATATAATGTAACAATTATTGGAAATTGATAAAATATATATTTTAAAGCATCGATATTTTATGCTAAGGGTGCTTCTTTACAGTGGATGTCACAAACTTGGCATTCACTATCCCATTTTTGGGTGCTTAGATTGAAAGAATCATGTTGTCATCAACAAATTTAGATATTGAAATATTGTAAAAAGCTGGCTGTCAAATAATGAACAATAACAGATCTAAGCTTCAATCTAAGGATTGCTTGATATATGTAAATGACTAAATAAGAGACTGTAAGTACTAGCCCTGAATAGTATGAGTGGGAAGATTTATCAGAATATTTAGACAATGCCTTGCTGTTAATAATAATTAGTTATATAATAAAAAATATAAATACATTGGCCTCGGCTCATTGTGGTTTTTTATATCATAATCACCTTATGCTTTAGGTTTTTACTTAATTTTGTAAACGCTATACATTGTAGCTTTAAATTAGGTTGCCACTTATAAAGAATTGACTTAAAATGCTGAATTGACTTGAAATGTGCGAATTGCAAAATTTAATTTGACAAAATACAAGGTGGTTCAAAAAACACTGACAATCCTACAACAGAAAATAGATACAAAAGTTTTCGTGTTATTTTTAAACGTACGTCCTTGCCTTAGAAATATTGCCAATGTTGTTTGAAGCACACTGTTTATATCTTATTGTATAGTGTAAGCACCATCTGAATTTTCCCTTATTTATTAGATATTGCTATTTTAATGTATCGTTGCTTTTTAAAACATTATGTGTAAACGATTCTTTTGAATAATTGAAATTAATTTAACATTTTGCGTAAAGCATCTTATTTATTCTTATATATACCAATACCGATCGTACGTTCTAAACTATACCGGTCGTGTAATATACTTGTGCTTATATGATTATATTGATTCTAATATGAATATACATATATCAAAAATATAATTTCTCACGTAAACATTACAAGCTATGCAATCATATTAACAAGAATATAGCGTTCGTAGCATATACAGTGTGTACGGTACATGAACAGACAATTTTTTGGTAATTGAGAAGGCTATTTAATGTTCTTATTGAAAACCGGAGTGCTTCAGGTACTACGGTTACTGAGATATATTTTTTTTTTTTTTTCGTTTTCACGCTGAATTCTCCGAAACTGTGCATGCATATCGTGATAACTTTTTTGTTTATCAAGACAATAACATAAAATAAACGCGGTTGGGTTCTTTAATGCATGCTTAATCAATGTAAATAATGTACCAAACACCCTGTATACAAGGTATAACAAGTCGCATTTTACCAAGGTATCGCTTTCTGAAAATAGCCTGTACAAAAATTTGTAGGAATTTTGATTTTTTTATGAATACATGGTGTTAATAAGTTATCTGACCAAACTTCAAAATGATTGTTGAAAGTTTTCGCCCAGTGACGTAGGAAGTACAAGTATCAATATCATGAAAATGAAGCATTATCAGACTTAGTTTATACAGGGCGATTCAGAATATCTTGGCGGTACTTCTAGAGTAGGAAGTACTTCCACAAATAACAAAAAAGGTCCTAAAAAATATGAAGTCCTAAAATGTTTCATTACCAAAATAGAGGACGCTGAATTTATAATTCCAAATACCTTGACTTGAAACTTTGTTTATGTAGTACTAACAACATAGCCAATAGTTACAAAAATGTTCGTGTCTGAGTCTACACCAGTGCGTAGAAATTGGGAAATGTTGGCACCTATACAGAGGAAAAAGATAAATTATGTCCCGCCGGGACCGACTTTTTTGGAACATCTATTGCATTTTTAGATAAAGTATTCAATTTTACATTGACGGTCTCGCATAAAAAAATGTGTCAGACTACTCCTATTGAAGTAAAATTGGATTAGGCATTCAAAATGAGCTGAGGTGAGGATTTTATCCTCATTCAGTGACGTAGAAATTTACACCACCCTGTATCTTCGTAACGGGACATTATAGGATTTATCTTTATAGGAACTTTTTTGACTTTTTGGGATGTACATTATACTCTATAAACGTCCAAGGGATCATCCTTCAAAGTTTGATCAAACACCTTATTAACGCCCTGTATTTTATTTTCACAAATATCCCGAAAATAAACATATTCGAATAATAAATACGATATTTGTACTATCTATTTTCGGTGGAAATTAATGTCCACTTTGTATATTAGCGGAAGTATTGTGGCAACCTCTATATATTTTCATTGAAACTGTGAGTTTATATACAATTGTTACTGTTCTACACTACTTAATCCAAATATAATAAATGCTAAAACTATAGCTCTTGTTGCACTGGATACGTATTAAAAGCAATCCAATGTTTTTAGTTTTCAAATGTGGCATCTGAAGTAGATTGTGTCATTTTAACCAAAAGTAATAAGAATTTGGAGTGACCTTTGACCATGAAAAAGGATTAAATATATGGCGAAGCCCTATTACAATGAAAAGTTTCATAAAATTATATTTTGATGCTTAGTTTTTGTTTGAAAATGATTTTGTTCTCTGTGTTACCTCTTTGCTTTGTCTTGCTTAAATGGGACCAGATTTTTTTTTACTGGCTGATTCTGTATTCCTAAATCAAACATCAAAAACCGTACAGATTCATATGATCATTATCCTGTTTTACAAGTTGTATCATCTGCTAGGTTTCCTATATACCAAAACACAACAACCTACATATATGTTTTTTTCACAGATAAGCGAACATTTTTGTCGCAAAACAATTTCGAATAAAATAAAAATTTTTGGTGGATAAAAATGTATGAAAAGGCATCTAAAAGCATTGGACCCTAACTTTCTTAAAGCAAATGTGTAATGAACATATCTAGTTGAAAGTATGTAGCATCTAGTGCATGTAGTTTAAAATCTAATAAAAAAGAGTTGTATATTCTATTTTTCCCATATTCACCCATTTTTCTAATACCTTCTGAAGGTATGTCATCTTCAAATTTTATTTAAACTTGACACTTACTAGCAAGCTTTAGCAAAACGCCCCAAGCAATAATATTCACAGCAGTTCTCTGATTTGACGAAATCTGCTAATAGACGACACAATAAATATTTCACACAAAACAAAATAAACATTTAGGGTGATCGGAAAAAAGTAACGTAATATAACAGTGAGACTTGGAATCAACATTTTCAATTGTATTTATTATAACACAGCAAAATGAAAGTTTGTGTATTGGAATGAAAGAAATCGCACATTGCCCCATCACTCCACAAATATTTGGAATTCTGAGCCCAAATGGAGGAATTCTAGAATTCTGTTCAGAATTGAAAATCGATGTGCTGCATTTTGAGTCGCTAATTTGCTACTGGTTTCATGAAGATGTCTAGTATTGGTTCAATGCCTCAGAATGGGTATAAATGTGGAACAAAAAAATTCTGAACTGTAAAAAATTGATGACTTTCAAGTTCAAGATTCACTGATTATATTACTTTGTATGTAACCACCCTACCACCCTGTAAGAATTTTTGTTTGTCTAGCACATTGTAGAATATACAATACAATGTATGTGATATGAAATTTGTGTGTTAGTGTTTTTGACATTTTTGCAGCTCTGAGATTTTTGACATGATTTGATACTATTCTGGCATTTTTATGGCATTAACTGACATTTGTTGCTCGCCCTTTTTCTAGCATAAAGCAAACTTACATAATTTATTTGAAACTAGAAGTGACTAAGAATGTCAAACAAACCTTAGGTAAATTTAATTCTTTGAAGACCGATAATTTCTGACAAATTGGGGAATGAAGTTTGTCCGATTTGCAAAAATGATGGACAAGTTCTGAGACCAAATACTCAGAGTTGTGACACAGAAGTACGCAATTCATTTAAACAAATCTCGTATTGATCTAGGTCATGATCCTTATAAGATCACTTCAAGGTCAAGCTTATTTTTATACGTTGACACTGAAATGGATCTGGTACAGGGAGAAGCCGTGGTTGTTTAATTCTCTTTATGACAAGGCCACGTCGATCTTGAATGCGAAAGAGAAAGGAAATCTCAATAATGTGAACATAGCTTTAAGGTATTGTGTTTTATTGACTATTAATTTGAGTCTTTTTGTTTTGGTCTGGTTTCAAGAACTGATAGTACTTACACATTCACCATTTTAGCAAATCAGCAAACTTCACTATTTCCCAGAAACTATTCATAGGATTATTGTAGTTCCATGGGAGTTTATGCGCGGAAGGGCGAAAAATATGTCATGCTGATTGGGCCCATTTTACATATATTGTGTGCAGGGTCCTTTGAATAGAACACAAAATCAGTATAGCTCACCAAATCCTGATAAAAAGCAAAGGAAAGATGTAGAAGTCAGAAAAGGACAATCGTTGATAGAAAGACTTGGACAGTGCCGTCATACACATGATCCTTCATGACAATAATAATAAGTATATACAGATACAAGCAGTTGCAGGACATATCAATAAATATCCATTAAGCACAGTGAACAAACAATATATACCTAAGTAAATAATCAACAATAATATAATAATAATCGTTCTATTTTTATTAAATTACAATAATAATAATAAATGTCTTTATTAGCAACACAACAATACTGAATACATTTAAATTTGATATTAGGTCTCGAAACACATACAAAAAAAAACTAGCTTACAACTTCATCAAGGTAAAGTTCGATGACACGCATTAAATATGTATAGTTATTAATATTACTGAATAGTATAGACATTCTATAAACGTGAGACTTGGACGAAACCTATGATACTTATAATATATGGACAATACATTTTATTTTCGACTAAGCTGTACAAAAACTATTTCGGCATACTACAAGCGATTTGTTATCAGAAGTCTTGAGCAATACATTATGGCGGATAGAAACCATTGCATTTGAAAAGAAAACATATTTTACAGCTCTGTGTTGAATAGATTCCAATCTGCTAATAGTTTTGCGAGGCTTATTCAAAATTGCTTCTGACGTATGTTAGATAAAAATCTTAATTGTTTCAATATGTGAGAAACCTGACCAGATCAGTGAACTTAGTATCAAATGTAACACCTAGGTCTTTATAACTGTTACTCCTTTTTAACCTTACCTGATTAATACCGCAGTCATCATAAAGCTTAACATTTCATTTCCTACAATATGATACTACTTTGCATTTTGACACATTTAGTGTGATGAGGTTTTTGGAACATCATGAATTGACAATTTCCAAATTATTTTGAAGAAAATGGCAGTCTTCGGGGGTTACGATACTATTATAAATTTCGAAATAATCACCGAAAAATAAATTACGACATTTAATCTCAAGCGACAGATTATTAATAAAGACTAAAAATAATAAAGGTCCCAAGTTAGACCCCTGGGGAACTCCTGTGTAGTTACCAAACTTGAAACCGCCATATTCCACAAACAGTGTTCAGTACAAAAGAATAATGAATAAAATGAATCATGATCAATTATACAATATATTACAAAGTGATGGCGATATATGCAGTGGTTTTATATATTACACTTAAATAAAACATGTATAGTGGTACCTAGATAACTTAATATTCGTATGCACCTATTTTAAATAATGTGTAATGGAACATTTTGATAATATAATAGTAAAATAAATAAAACAAAATAAATCCAGGTCAAATAATTATTTGACAATCTATGTAATTATAATGTCATGCCAATTACTTTGTAGCCGCTTAAACAACATCAACCAACTCAGAATTTAAATTCCTAAAAAAAAACATAAAAAGAATGATCAAAGCATTTACATATTTAGCTAGCAAAGAGCTATGAACCTATCAAGGTTTGCCACAACAAATGATCTAGACTCTGAACTAAACAATTTTAATTTATTTATCAGCCTCAGTGTCGCAGGCAAAATGTTGTAGATTTTCAGACCAATATAGTCAATTGATCTTATGTTTATGTTTGTGAAACTATTGGGTATTATTAGATTTCTATCAGCATTGTTTCTGGTTGAATAAGGATGACTAACATATTCTCTTGTTAAAGGATTTTTATACATAAAGGAGCAGACTTCTAAAACATACAGGGTGCGGCAGAGAGGATGGTCGATTTTAAAAAAATCATAAAATAGTTAATTTTTACTCGAAACCAAATTTATTGATGGAATCAGGTTCACGAGGAAATGCATTTGAGACAGTTAAGTGTGGAAAATCACATCAGGCATGTGGTGGCCGAAATCGTTGATGCAGTGCTGGAGGCGTTCTTGGAAGTTCGCGTAGACTCTCTCCAACATCGCTCTCTACACTTGGGCGACTTCCATGCGAATTTCGCCCTTCAATTCGTCCAGAGTTCGGGGCTTGTTCGCGTATACTCTAGCCTTGAGGTGTCCAGATAAGAAAAAATCGCATATGGATAAATCTGGAGATCGAGGAGGCCAATGAACATCGCCAAACCTGGAAATAAGGCGACCAGGGAAGAGAGGGCGAATAACGTCCATGGATGCTCGGGCTGTGTGGGCGGTCGCCCCATCCTGCTGGAACCACACACGTCGGATTGGAACACGTCGCCGTCGTAATTCAGGGAGAAAGAAGTTGGTGATCATGTCGACGTAGCGCTCTGAGTTGACGGTAACATCACGACTATTACCGTCTTCGAAGAAGTAAGGGCCAATGATGCAAGTTTGCGATACAGCGCACCAAACCGATGCTTTTGGGCTGTGCAGTGGTCTTTCGTGCAACTGTTGCGGATTTTCATTAGCAAAATAACGACAATTCTGCTGGTTAACCATGCTGTTTAGGTGAAAGTGGGCTTCGTCACTCATAGGCGAAAACGCGGTGCTCTACCGTCCAAGGCTCCATAACGACAACTGGTAAAATAATACTAGGATCTCACGAGTCAAACGGCACCCTCCACACCTCTCTCGTAGACGGAGGCGGAGAGTACTACCTATCCCAAAAACGTCCCTCCTCTCTGCCGCACCCTGTACAATGGTTTTACAGCAATTATTTTTTCACTATAAAGATGACATATGTAATTCTGGAAAGCTTTTGAAGGTTTTAATGCTGTCTCATAAACTTCCCCAGACAATTATCCCGTATGTAATGACTCCACTAGGGCTTTATAGACACAGATTAATAAGTGACTGTTTAAAGTTTCTCTGATCATGTGAAATTTTCTAATTAGTTTTCGTAGATTGTTCGTGTACCTAAACACATGTTGCTTCCATTTAAGATTTTGATCAATTATTACACCAAGGTATTTGGTGTATGGTACTTCTTTTATTTCATTTTCAAAACCGTTTACTTGTATGCTGTTAAAATTTGTTCGATTTGCAGATGTCAAGGAAAAGGCTATGCAATTAGTTTTGTCCACATTTAAACTAAGTTTAGATGAATCAAGCCAACATTTTATTTTTTCTAATCCAAGAGATGTTTTTTCATATACCTCTTCCCATGTTTCCGCCACAAAGACCACGACGGTGTCATCAGCGTATGAAACCACCATACCATTTTCTAGAATAATATCTGTCAAGGAGTTTATATATAATATAAATAGTAATGGCCCAATTACGGTGCCCTGTGGTATGCCCTTTTCTATTTCTGACGAGTCACTGATCACATTTCCGATTTTAGTCATCTGTATTTTACCCGTCAAGTAACTCCGACACAACACCCCTGATCCCATAAATATCGAGGACATCTAGAAGGGAGTCATGAGGCACTGTGTCAAATGCCTTTCAAAGGTCTAGGAAGGCCGCAATGCATTTCTTTCCTTGATCAAGATTTTTTGAAATGGTTCTTGTAAGCTTAAGTATCGCATCGTACTGATGCCATTGCGAAAACCAAATTGATTTTCTGACAAAACATTATTACTAGATAAAAAACTTGATAATCTCTCTTTAAGACACTATTCGAATATTTTAGCGAAATTCGTAATAACTCCAATTAGACGAAAATTTGTAATTTTAGTTTTATCTCCAGATTTATATATTGAGGTAATTGTACCAATGCTTTCTGTATGTATGTATAGATTGCATCAATTTGGCCTTGCTGATCCAGAGTCGTGGCAACAAATTGGGTAAAACAAGCTCAATTAGAAATTGTAGACAATTTCGGATACCTGATTCTAATTTCTATATCGAAATTAATGTACAATTATTCATGGCGGAGCATATGTAAGACGACATAGAAGTTTCTGGTGTACAAAGTCAGTCAGAATCAGGCCTATGGATGGCAGTTTGATACATAACATTCATTTCCTGTCAATTTGATGGTGCTTTATCTATGGCGTTCTAAGGTTTGTCAGATATTCTTGAGTATCTATAGTCTAGCTTCGTCAAGTGGTGAACTGTCGCTTCGCATCATACATGATACTACTCTATCATATTATAGAGTTAAATATGACCTGTGACCACAGGAAAGTCAAGTAAATCCAAACTGTTGCTTATTTGAGAATGTATAATAGAAATGATACAGATATCGGATTTTGAGCAGAGCTAGTTGTAGTATAAATGCGATAATCGCGTTGACCTGCATCTATATGCTAGCTCGAATCACAGTTAAAAGTTATTGTCTTATTATACTGCGAAAAGTTGGGAAATCTCGAAACTGGAGATATTACAGACCAAAATGTGTGAATTGACCTAAACATACCTTAGTCCAAAAGTTGATAGTTTGCGAGACACAGGGTGTCAAAGTTACATTTTTTTTCTATTTTTCCTTATTGCTTGAGAAGCATTTCAGATTTCGGTATAGGAAGGTTTTCTCGTATGAGAAACAAGAATCCGTTATTTGTTATGTCCAAGCTTCTAGAGGGCGCCACTCACAGCACTATTTCGGTAAATAACTTATCATAACTTTTTTGTGCTACCCTGTTTACAACAACTGACCAAAAAATCTTATTTTCTCGTATTTTCACAACAAGAAAGGTTTACTTGTTAGAAGTATCTAAAGCCAATAGTTTTCGAGATATTTGTTTTTAAAGGTTCCAATGCATTATTTGTACCATGATGATAAAACATTTTTATAACATAATAATCAAGTTGCTTTGGATAATATCTGAGTAGCGTTGCTATGGTTTCTAATGTTTGTCATAATATTGCTTTAAACTTCATGAATAATTCTAAGTTGAC